TCATCTTAATAAGCCGCGTTTAAGAATGTAGGGTGGAAACAACTTTCCCCTGTGTTCCCTATTATATTATTCTTCTGTTGGTTGCTTACATTTTGTACATGTTATATGTACATGGTAATTCATAAAAGGCATCAAGTTGGGTGTTGTTCTTTGCACATTATCAATGCCTGGCTACCTGCTGTCATTTCTAACTGCTCAACTCGAATAATCTAGGAAAATGTACGTCTTTAGAAATGCACAAATGCACCGTTGACAATAGTATGCCATTGATTGATGGCATGTTATGTGTAAAAGATCTACACTAGAAACATCTTCCCGTTGAAGTTTTCTGTTGCCATTTTAACTTAACGTCACCTATTGTATTTTTGCCTGGGTACCTGATGCCTCTTCTATGTTCTAACTACCAAACTGGCTGCAGGTGCTTTTATTACTCCATTCTCACAGACCATGTTTGGTACGACAGGTCCTACTAAAATCAGTGAAACTTCATTCGTGACAAATGCAGGTAAATTAGTTGAACACTGAGTGCTTGGCTTTGGCTACCTGCCACCAGTTCTAATAACTACAAAACTCTTTTCAGGTGCTCCAACTTTCACAGGTCTGCCTAATTATCTCTGTTAGTACCCATCAGTTGCAAATTCGGATTAAGTATTTTAAATTCGTTGAACACATGCATTCGTTTTCAAACCTAGACAAATCTACATCTTTTAAGGTTGATGATCCCTAGTATGGTTCATTGTTAGAGAACACCAAATAAACTAATGAAGGGGCTATAAGCATCATTTTAACATTTCACAGGTGATTCAGTCTCACGGCCTGCTAAAATCCCTTGGATCATATCTTCCACAAATGCAGGTAAATGAACTGAACACTCTCAACCGTTTTCATACCATATAGAAAGTCCATCTGCGCATATTGATACCTGAAATTCTTAGTTGTCGCCTGGCAGAGAAACTCCAGCACCGATAGTAATATTCCGCCTGCCATGTTTTATAACTCAGCAGGTTGATATATATATCTGTTCTCGTCATACCTCTTGGTTTCTATGGCAAACTATTTCCCAAAACCGCGGAATTTTCCGCCTCTTGCATTTATCAGCTGCTTTCTTTTTTCTACTTGTTTTATGCCCACAATAGTTGCAGGATTGCACTGGCATCTTGTAACGCCCCGAGACCGATGCTCGAGAAGACTTCCGGCTATTCCGAGTTTCGCCGTGTGCTTTATTTGCTTTTGTGCATTTCATCATGTCATCATGTGCATGGTGTGATTTCTCATACATATTATGTTGTTGCATGTTCCATGCATGAATCTCGCATCACCCACCTTTTCCTTCCCTCTACTTCCTTCTTTTGACAAGTGCCATTTTCCCCTTCTCCTTTAATGTTCACCTTCTCCCAAATAGTCAAACTTATTGCCCTAAACCCCACCGCCAAATTTCACCTCTTTTGGGAATGTTTTGGTTAGGTTTTAAAATGGCTCAAGTTTGAATTTAGTTCAAACTTGAATTATTTTTCTTCCTCTAAAAATTGCCAAACCAATTTATTCAAATTCTGCATATTCTCAAGACTCCAGGGATATTTTCTTTTCTGAAATATTCCACCTCTAGCACCTCTTTCTTTTCTCCTAAATTCTGGTTGAAGAATTAAGGAAAAGAAAAGAGAGATGGAGAAGCCAGCCCAACTGGGCCTCCCAGCTACCGCAGCTCGGCCCAGCCACCCGCGCAGCCAGACCGGCCCAAGGCCTAGGCCCAGCAGCGCCCCCCTCTAACCCTAGTTTCCCGATCCCCTCATCTCTCCCTCCCTTCGTCCTCTTCCAGCGCCGCCAGTCACCCATCGTCCGATCCCATCGCCTCTCCTGCTCGATCCCATCGCTCTCCCGCGACCCCGAGCTCCCTGCAGTCCGAGCGCCACGAGGAGGAGCCCCTTGAGCACCGGCCGCCGTCGCCAGTCTTCGCCGTGCCCCTGCTGCCTTCCTTCCCCGCGCCCCCTCCTCGCCAACTCCCTGTCGCCGAGCGTCGAGGAGAGGAGCCCCTCGAGCACCGGCCGCGCGCCGCGCGCCCAACCTCCTCTTCGCCCGCCTCCTCGTCTGTCCGTCGCCGCCGCGGCGCGGGCCCCGCCTGACGGATCCCCGAGCAGTCTTCCGGCGCCGCGCCTCCCCGTCACCCGCGTCTCCTCGCGCTGGCCCTGGCCAGCCGGCCACCGGAGCCTCGCCGACGCCCCGTCCTCGCCTCTCCACACGCTCGCCAGGTCCCCGTGCCGAGCCGGCCCTACAGCCCCGTCCCCGGCCTCCGACGACTCGCCGCGCCCGCCAAGTTCCTGCGTGAGCCTCCTCTGCTCGCTCGCGTGGGCCGCAGCGGCTGCAAGGCCGGTCGTAGTCAGCCAGCCTCGCCTCTGCTCCGAAACCAGGATCGTCAAGGTCATCTTCGAGAATTTTCGCCAAGTACCACGACATTCGGAGCCCCTTGGAAACGTCAAGTTCGACTACAAAACGTCAAACGTGTACCACTACCGCCGCCCGAACTTCTACGAACGGTGTACCACGACGAACATGTACGGCTACATGATGACCCGCCAAGACCTCGAACCACTACCATCGCGAGAACAACTACTTCCACTACCGTCGCCACGTGAACAACTACTTCCTCTACCGACGCCGTGTACAACTACTTTCGACGACGTCCCGTGAACGCCTACTTCCTCTACACCGCTCCGAATGCGAACCGTCTCGTTTGAACGCTTCGAAGGTATAACCCGAAACGACCGCCGTGGACCGAATGCACGTTGTATGAGATGCCCGTGTTTGCACCATGTCCGAATTGTCATTGCAAGTTCCTCCTCGTTTCCATGCCACAATCCCGTGGGAACCCGGTAGCCGGGAGCACCCCACCATCTTGCATGACTCGCTCACGCTCACTTCCTTTTGTACCGGTATCTCCGTGAGCTACCGGAACCGATATGTTGCCGTGGCACCATTTTTGTTTCGCCGCCGTGGCACCTTTTCCCTTCCGCCATGGCGACTAATGCTTCTTATCATGCTCATGTCAACATTTTCATAAAAATTGCATAAAACTTGCATATGTCATCCGCATCATGATAACAACAATTAAAATGTTTAAAATTGTTGTTTGCTTTAAATTGCTAAATAACATGGGGATTTTCCGGAATTGTTGTTTGTTGTTTCCGGCCTCATTTAAACTTGCCTAGATAGGTAGTTTTCTTTTGCTTCACCCTCTTGCCATGTTTAACAACACTTAATATTGTTGGGTACATAACGAGATCAAACTAAATAACTTGTTGTGGTGCTTCGTCAATATGCAACTCGTTGCATATTGATCTCCACTTAATTTGTAGAACTGCTTGTGCACTTTGCCATGCCATGCTTCATTAAACCGGACATGCATCATACTCGTTTGTGCATCATGCCATGTTGATGTGTTGGTTATTTACTATGTTGTGTGCTTCTTTTCCGGTGATTGCTTCTTCGGGTTGGTTCCGATAACGTCGCGTTTGTGAGGATCCGTTCAACTACGTCCGTTTGTCTTCTTCATGGACTCTTTCTTCTTCCTTGCGGGATTTCAGGCAAGATGATCATACCCTCGAAATCACTACTATCTTTGCTATGCTAGTTTGCTCGCTCTTTTGCTATGCCAATGCTACGATGCCTACCATTTGCTTGTCAGCCTCCCAAATTGCCATGTCAAACCTCTAACCCACCATGTCCTAGCAAACCGTTGATTGGCTATGTTACCGCTTTGCTCAGCCCCTCTTATAGCGTTGTTAGTTGCAGGTGAAGATCGAAGTTTGTTCCTTGTTGGAACATGGAGATGTTGTTCCTTGTTGGAACATGTTTACTTGTTGGGATATCACAATATATCTTACTTAATTAATGCATCTATATACTTGGTAAAGGGTGGAAGGCTCGGCCTTATGCCTGGTGTTTTGTTCCACTCTTGCCGCCCTAGTTTCCGTCATATCGGTGTTATGTTCCCGGATTTTGCGTCCCTTACGCGGTTGGGCTATAATGGGAACCCCTTGACAGTTCGCCTTAAGTAAAGCTTCTCCAGCAATGCCCAACATTGGTTTTACCATTTGCCACCTAGCCTTTTCTTTTCCCTTGGGAGTCGCGCTCCTGAGGGTCATCATTATTTTACCCCCCCCCGGGCCAGTGCTCCTCTGAGTGTTGGTCCAACTGTCAGCTACCGGTGACCACCAGGGGCAACTCTGGGTTGGCCTACCCGTACCTAAGACAATCTGAGTGTGCCCTGAGAAAGAGATATGTGCAGCTCCTATCGGGATTTGTCGGCACATTCGGGCGGTGTTGCTGGTTTAGTTTTACCCTGTCGAAATGTCTTGTTGTACCGGGATACCGAGTCTGATCGGAATGTCTCGGGTGGAGGTCTATTCCTTCGTTGACCGTGAGAGCTTGTGATGGGCTAAGTTGGGACACCCCTGCAGGGATTTGAACTTTCGAAAGCCGTGCCCGCGGTTATGGGCAGATGGGAATTTGTTAACGTCCGGTTGTAGAAAACCCGAAGTTGACCTTAATTAAAATACATCAACCGTGTGTGTAACCGTGATGGTCTCTTTCCGCGGAGTCCGGGAAGTGAACACGGTGTTGGAGTTATGCTTGACGTAGGTAGTCCAGGATCACTTCTTGATCATACCTTTATCGACCGTGCTTTGCCTTCTCTTCTCGCTCTCATTTGCGTATGTTAGCCACCATATATGCTAGTCGCTTGCTGCAGCTCCACCTCATTACTCCATCCTTCCTATAAGCTTAAATAGTCTTGATCTCGCGGGTGCGAGATTGCTGAGTCCCTGTGGCTCACAGATACTTCCAAAACCAGTTTGCAGGTGCCTATGTTACCGTGCAGATGACGCAACCAAGCTCAGGAGGAGCTCGATGAAGATCTTGTCCTTTATGTTGTTTCGTGTTAGTTGATCAGTAGTGGAGCCCAGTTGGGGTCGATCGGGGACCTTTGTCGCATTTGGGGTTCTTCTTTTATTTTGGTTCCGTAGTCGGACCTTGATTGTATCTGGATGATGTAATGCTTGATTCATGTAATTGTGTGAAGTGGCGATTGTAAGCCAACTATGTATCTCTTTCCCTTATGTATTACATGGGTTGTGTGAAGATTACCTCACTTGCGACATTGCTTTCAATGCGGTTATGCCTCTAAGTCGTGCTTCGACACGTGGGAGATATAGCCGCATCGAGGGCGTTACACATCTAGAAGCTGATAAACATACACACCACAAATCATATAATACACCTAGTTGGTTACATGCACATGCTCATTTTTGTGGGCTTGTTATGCAGGTGCCTTTAGCACTCCATCTTCGCAGACAATGCTTCATACGACAGGTTCAACTAAAAACATTTAGACTTCATCAGTGACAAGTGCAGGTAAATAGTTGAACACTGAGTCCTTGGCTTTGGCTACCTACTATCTGTTTTAACTGCAAAACTCCTTTCAGGTGCTCCAACTTTCACAGGTTTGCCTAATTATCTTAATTGGAACCCATCAGTTGCAAATTCAGGTTAAGTATTTTTAAATTCGTTGAACAGCTGCATTCGTTTTCAAACCTAGATAAATCTTTTCTGGAGAATGGTTCATCATAGAGAACATGAGGAACTAATCAAGGGTCTATACTATATGCATAATATCTAACTGTCAAACTCTTCACAGGTGATTCAGTCTCACAGCCTGCTAAAATTAAAATCCCTTGGATCATATCTGCCACAAATGCATGTAAATTAACTGAACACTCAACCGTTTTCGTAAGCATGAGCTACGTCTACACATATTGATACCTGAAATTGTTTGTCAGAGAAATTCCATTACCGATAATAGTGTTCTACCCATATTGATTTCTCCTGTCCTCATACCACTTGGTTGCTTCGGCAAGCTATTTCGAAACTGTGGTGGATATCCTTTTCTGACTCTTGCATTTGTTGGCTGCTTTCTTTCTTCTACCTGTTTTATGCCTATAACAGTTGCATGATTTCACTTGCACAGTGGGTTGCCTGTACATGTAAATTTTTACGGTTATAGGTCTTCGCTAAAAACTCCAGGATCTCACTAAAAAATGTTGGTCTGAGTTTAGGCTCTTGATTTCCAATCTGCACTAGCCCTTCCCTCGCATTTCAAAATGTTTTGACTGTCAAGAGGACATTATAAGTAAATTACCCTACCTGTTGCAGGATCTTTTAGTACTCCATCCTCACAGACCATGCTTGATACGACAGGTTCTACTAAAAACATCGAGACTTCATCAGTGACAAGTGCCGGTAAATAGTTGAACTCCGAGTCCTTGGCTTTGGCTACCTACTATCTGTTCTAACTGCAAAACTCCTTTCAGGTGCTCCAACTTTCACAGGTTTGCCTAATTATCTTCATTGGAACCCATCAGTTACAAATTCAGGTTAAGTATTTTTAAATTTGTTGAACATCTACATTCGTTTTCAAACCTAGATAAATATTTTCTGGAGAATGGTTCATCATAGAGAACATAGAGAACTAATCAAGGGGCTATATGCATAATATCTAACTGTTAAACTCTTCACAGGTGATTCAGTCTCATAGCCTGTTAAAATTAAAATCCCTTGGATCATATCTGCCACAAATGCACGTAAATTAACTGAACTCTCAGCCGTTTTCCTAAGCATGTAAGAAGCTCCATCTACACATATTGATACCTGAAATTGTTTCAGAGAAATTCCATTACCGATAATAGTGTTCTATCCATATTGATTTCTCATGTCCTCATACCACTTGGTTGCTTCGGCAAGCTATTTCGAAACTGTGGTGGATATCCTTTTATGCCTCTTGCATTTGTTGGCTGCTTTCTTTCTTCTACCTGTTCTATGCCTATAACAGTTGCATGATTTCACTTGCACAGTGGGTTGCCTGTACATGTTCATTTTTACGGTTATAGGTCTTCGCTAAGAACTCCAGGATCTCACTAAAAAATGTTAGTCTGAGTTTAGAGTCTTGATTTCCAATCTACACTAGCCCTTCCCCCGCATTTTTAAATGTTTTGACTGTTAAGAGGACATTATGCGTAAAAGGTGAATAAATGAATGTTAATACTAATACTTATTTGGGTGATTCTAAAGGGTTTTAATACTTGGGCAGACCCAGTCGATCTAAGAAAGAGGCTGACAACTGCTGAGGAAGATGATCCCGGTAAAAAAAGGCAACGGACAAATAAATTGGTAATGCTTGGTATAACTCGCTTTCTGCTCAGTCACGCATCCTATATACTTAAGAAGTTCACCCCCACTACTTGATTTATCTCAACATGCAGCATAGACACCTCATCATCCAGTCACATCCAGCCACGTCACACCTCATGCAGTCCCATTCAAGCCCACCTCCTTAGGCCTCATAAAATATTACAAGGAAAAATGAAAATCTTTGGGATTTCTTCAAAACGTACGCGCCAATACAGTTCAGCGAGACGAACGCTGCTTCGTTTCCCATAAAAGCGCATACGCCATAATGGTTCCGTTTCCAAAGTAATAGCTGAACAAGCGCTCCCTTAGAAAAAAGGCCCTCTGCCTCTCTCCCACATAGCCACATAAAACGTCAGTTTTCCCCTGCCAACAGATAGCTCACAATCGTGGAAAAAACTAAGCCAACCTTTTCCCCTAGCTATGAAGATCCAGCGATGGGCAGGCGATCTCCGCGTGAAGTCCAGTCATCTCGCACGACCATCGATCTACTTCACCTGCAACTCCTCTCTACGCAGGCCAGACCACAGTTTCGTTGCCGGCCGCCCAGATCGTCGCTGAGGGCACAGCCGAATCGGCCTAATCGGGTCGTTATTATGCTCCTAATCTACCGGGCACGCCGGATGGTCTACCTCGCCACCGTCTCTTGGCAGCTGGGACGTGAGCCGGGTTGTTTTATGTTGCCGGCAACCTAGAATCACAGATCGTTAATTAAGGCACAACCGATGAGGCCTCTGCGATGCTCGATGGCCGCCGTCGGGTACCACAAGCATCGCGGAGTTCGCCTCAATCAGCAAAGAAGACTGTCACAGCGGCTCCTGCTCTGTGGCTGGTACATCAGCTTATCAGTGAGCATTGTAGCACTTAGTTTCACGTTAGATGAGGAATACCATTGTTACGTACTTCTATACCATGGTTGACATACTTCTTTGTTGTACGATCATTTATATTCTGCATTTATGATCAATTCCTACTTCCCAGTCTCCATCGTGCATTCCGCACGCGTCATCTGTGTCTCCGAGCACCAGGCTTCCGACACTCCGCTATGATCTCCACATGATCCCGCATGGGCTTCACGGAGTTGTAGTTTCACTCAGATATAAGGTAATGCATACCTTTTTATATTATACGGTGAGATTTGGATTTTGTCCATTGGTCGCACACAAGTGTTTTGATTACTAATATATGTCGTTGTTTTTCTCATGCCTTTTCAGCAATAGTATTGATGTCTATTCACCATCAAAAAAAAGTATTGATGTCTATTTGCAAGATGCCTGCCAAGGAGCTGCCAAAATTATCAACCTGGGCATGTTCTATGTATTAGTGATGCCTCTTTTAATTGCATTTGGCTAGGTTTTGTTTTGGTGCCAGACAGAACTTTGTTCACCCCAATTAAGCCTTTCAGTTTACTATCTTTGTTGCATGTTATGTTGCATTATACTCACTAAGGTGCAATTCCTTCCCTCTGAATTTGGAACTATCATGTTATCGGCAGCTTTAGTATAAAGGTTTGCATTCTGCTCCATCCAACACTTTCCTGTAAAAGTGCTCCTCCATGTAGGTCACTATATAACAACTGAAATTTTAAGCATTGACTGGTATGTATTTGTAGAGACTATGATAGATATAGAAGCATCAAAATTTAATATATGCCCATCTTCATTCTGCTGAAGTTTTACCTACTATTTTTCTTTGCCTATTAACCGATTCATGAAATAATTCACTGAGGTGGCCAAATACATTACTTTCATAAAATACATATGTGTTTTCTTTTTCTCTGTTATTAATTGTTTGACATATTATTGTTAATTGTACAAACTAATCTTGATTTTTCAGTTGCCGGCACTTTTTTTTTCTTGCCATTTGAATCTTGCCCATTTGGATCGTGTCTAATGTGGCAAAGGTCACACATTCAATATTTGTTTGTGAGACTCCATTACTAAGGTGAGACATTTCCCACTTATCAGTTCGAGATATTGTCTGCAGTTTTAGTGTTCAATTCAGCTGCTCGACACTTTAGGATACCTCATCCTTCACACCCAAAACAAGCTTCGGTTAGTTTTACCATAAAAAATGTTGTGTCATTAAGTGTTGTTATTCACAATTCTCTTTTGTAAAGCATAGTAACAAACTTAAAGGTTGTCATTTTGTGGTTAATGCATTTCCAAATTTGTTTTGGTGGTTAATTTTATTGATTCAAAGTTTCTAATTGGGCAAATCCTAATTAGTTCTTAATTTCTTACACATGGGATTCATTTTTCCTACTCTGCAATCCATCACGTATGTAGCAAATGGTTTAGTGGATATCACATATTTTTATGTCAGTCAATATTATATATATATAATTTTTGTCTATACTCCTTTAAATATTCATCTACTAATTCCCGCAGCAACGCGCGGGGTAGCATCTAGTTTCCTAAGAAGTACCTACAATATTAACTGGCGGAGTACTTGTTGGAATGCAGGAGCTAGAGTCTGAAACTGAAGCTGGTACTTGCGCCATCAACTTGATAGCCTGATTGAGTCGGGCCTTACTCACTGTGCTCCTTCAAGTTGATTAGTTGCAATTGTGTTGGAGGATACCATTAAGGAGGTTTTTGGATTAGAGAGTGGATACTGTACCTTGCTGCGAACGGTCCTGTGACGGCGGTGAGCTGGGGTGGCAGAGAACGGTCCAGCGACGACGGCGATGGCTACCAAGCGACAGGGCCGCACCAAATAGGCGGAGGATTAGGCACACATCCGGTGACTCGCCGACCATCGGAGACGGGAAGAGCCGGCTCGAGCCTGGCGGCAGTGGGTTCTTTTGGGAGAGAGCAGAGGAGCACTCGAGATTTCTCCCCGAAACAAACACCTCCTAGGTATAAATCTTATTAATGGTTCATTCCTGGAATCGATCCCTTCTTTGTTTGGTCAATTCTTGATCAGCAAAGGAGTGCACTCCCATATAAACATAAGCAGGATCACACACACACACCATTGATGTTGGTGTTTTGGTACATCAGCATGTTTGATTATATACACATATGAAAATGAAATGCCAGCAAACAGTACTCGTAAATGTGTGAGTCTGTTCAAGATTGTATGACTAAAGCTTGTGATCCATCGGATGGATTTCAGTAGTTCAGAAAACAGAGGGAACCGAAAG